TCTATTTATCATTATCAGTCATTTAGGTCAACATTAGATCAATCAGAGATCCTCACCGAACGTCTGGAGAAAGTTTGGTGCACTGAAATGAAAGGGGCCTTCAGTTTTTTATTTGTTAAAAAAAGTTTAAAACATCCAATAAATTTTGTTCCACTTCATGATTGTGACCCTTTTGGTGTTAATTATTGAAACAATGAAGTTAAATTCCATATTTCTTTAAGTTTAAAGCCTGAAATATGGCAAAAGTTCAAAGTTCAAGGGCGCCAAATACTTTCGCAAGGCACAGTTAAAACGTTTGTGAAAATTGCTGCAATATAGTCATTAGGATAATAAGAGTAAAGAAAAAAAACATGTAAAAAAGTGAAAGAACGACAAAGACTTAGATAAGAAAATGTACATTTTATTAAAAAAAAATGAATAAAATATTCATTGTATAGTCTATTTTTACATGAATATAAATATATAATAAATATATACAATTTCTATCCGTCATACAACTGTTGTGTCCTTTCCAATCCATAACTTTTAACAGTAAGGAAGTTGTTCTCTCTTGCTGGGCAACAAAATGAAAAATATATGAAATGTCTAATGAGGAGTGAATGCAACAGAGAAAAAAAGTCCATGAAAGTATGCATCCATAACATGTTCAGCTAACGGTAATGCTGGCTAATAACCACATTTGCAAGAGTATATAAGCAGCTAGTTTAAACATTTCTTTAAGATTCACTAATTCCACTCAGAAATAAGCCCCACTCTTGCATTCTGATCTGCTTTTATAAATGCAGGGAATAAAGCCAAGTAGCTTTCTAAACCGAGGATTAATCTTTAAATCCACACCAATGACGCTTTTCACAGGATTCACACCTCTTAACTGCACTTATTCTCTTTGAGAGGTTAAACACGGTGAAACGCTTCACCTGCTCAGACGTCACAGACTGAAGGCTGCAATTTGCTGATAGCTTCGGAGCTTCCCATCATTCCATTTGTCCTAAACGTGATAAGCCCCTTTCCACTCGTTTCCCCAATATCACCTTTCAAAAATAATACTGCCAAAATCCAGCAACCAGCGCGTCAACAACAGCCATATGAGACTCTGACGCACTACTTAGATTAAATGGAGGGCTTATGAGGTGGCCGTAAATGTGAAGCATGTAGCACAGAAGATGATACCCAGTTAGTGAGGAAAGTAGGAGGTGGAAGAGATTGCAATCTAAAATTAACATACATTTCTAAAGATTTTCTAAAGGTAATGCATCGGTTTTGTCAAAAAGACAAAGTCAACGCATCAAATTAAAAGTTTGCATTTAGCTTAACTTTTAATGCATATAAGTTGGTAATGGTTGTGGAAGCATTTTCTACTTGGTTAACTTATAAATGAGTCATGAGCATAATTGCTAGCACTGAGATATAGAATATTCTTCATTGATTTACTAATTTGAAAACCAGATTACCTTAATGCTAATTTGAAAAATATATATTTTTCATGGGGGAACAGAACAAAAACAGAAGAAACAAAAAAGAAACAAACAAAAGAAAAAACCCACAATATTCCATTGTTTTCCTCTGAAAACACAGACGTACATAAGAAGACGCCACATTGGGGGCAGGTTGATGTAACGCCATATTGTATGTGGCAGAATGTAGTTAACGTTGGTTGTAGTGAACGTCAGTTGGCTATGCAAGACCATTCTTTTTCAAGGTTTTTAGCTTGCATTCAGTACAGACTGTTGTTTTTAGATAAAAATGTGCATATATAGGTTTGGAAGTATTATAAATAAATATTTGTGTGATTATATATAATTTTATGTCCAGATTACAGATGTTTCTGACATATATATATATATATTTTTTCCAAATGTCCATATATATATATATATATATATATATATATATATATATATATATATATATATATATATATATATATATATATATATATAAAGTTTGGGGTCACATTAAAATGTCCTTATTTTTGAAGGAAAAGCACTGTACTTTTCAATGAAGATAACTTTAAACAAGTCTTAACTTTAAAGAAATAGACTCTAAACATTGCTAATGTGATAAATTACTATTCTAGCTGCAAATGTCTGGTTTTTGGTGCATTATCTACATAGGTGTATAGAGGCCCATTTCCAGCAACTATCACTCCAGTGTTCCAATGCTACAATGTGTTTGCTCATTGGCTCAGAACGCTAATTGATGATTAGAAAACCCTTGTGCAATCATGTTCACACATCTGAAAACACTTTAGCTCGTTACAGAAGCCACAAAACTGACGTTCCTTTGAGCAGATTGAGTTTTCTGCATCACATTTGTGGAGTCAGTTAAACTCAAAATGGCCAGAAAAAGAGAACTTTCATCTGAAACTCGACAGTCTATTCTTTTTCTTAGAAATGAAGGTTATTCCATGTGAGAAATTGCTATAAATTTGAAGATTTCCTACCACGGTGTGTACTACTCCCTTCAGAGAACAACACAAACAGGCTCTAACCAGAGTTGAAAAAGAAGTGGGAGGCCGCGTTGCACAACTGAGCAAGAAGATAACTACATTAGAGTCTCTAGTTCGATAAACAGACGCCTCACAGGTCCCCAACTGGCATCTTCATTAAATAGTACCTGCAAAACACCAGTGTCAACATCTACAGTGAAGAGGCGACTGCGTGATTCCGGGCTTCAGGGCAGAGGGGAAAAGAAAAAGCCATATCTGAGACTGGCCAATAAAAGAAAAGGATTAAGATGGGCAAAATAACACAGACATTGGACAGAGGAAGACTGGAAAAAAGTGTTGTGGACGGATGAATCCAAGTTTGAGGTGTTTGGATCGCAAAGAAGAACGTTTGTGAGACGCAGAACTAGGGGTGGAACGGTTCACAAAATCCACGGATTGGTTCGATTCACGGTTTCGTGGTCACGGTTTTCGGTTCGGTTCGATTCGGTATATGTTGATTGTTACACCGAAATCCCATAAAAATTTATGAAATTAATGAAAAAATCCCCCAAAAACTAATGGATTGTAATTATTTTAAATGATCCGCGGAAACCCTGGATCATTTCAGTATGTTTTGCTGCTTTGAATTTCATCATCTCGCGCATGCTCTCTACCATCTCCAAGGGACTCAGAGGGGAGCGGACGGGAGCCACAGTGGCGGCTGTAGGCTTTGCTTTGAGCAGCCGGTCTGGAGCGCAGCGGGGCGGAGCGGGGGTTGCTGACGGAGTATGAGGGATTTCGAGGTTAGCATGACATGTTGCTGTTAGCATAAACAAAACGTGTTGCATAATGCTTGCACACTGTTGCACTTTTATCCACAGCTTTCTTTCCGCCGTCATCGTAGGTCACTCTAAATGCAAAGCGTTCCCATACAGCAGACCTATAAAGTGCTGCTGGCGCGTCTTCCAACTCCTGTTCTTTCCCACTCGCCATTCCGACACAATTCTCCACAACAACTGATTTTTTTCCCTGCTACACCCAGCTAAGCTGCTTCGCTTCTTCTTCTTCTTGTTTACTACTGGTGGTTGGCTTTGGTTGCAGTACCACCACCTTCTGCTCTGGAGTGTAATCACTTTGCCTATGAGAAAAAGGAGCAGCGCATGAACCGAACGAAACACACGCGAATCGAACCGAGACAGTTTTCATAAATCAGACTGTTTTCATAAATCATCCCACCCCTACACAGAACAAATGAAAAGATGCTGGAAGAATGCCTGACGCCATCTGTTAAGCATGGTGGAGGTAATGTGATGGTCTGGGGTTGCTTTGGTCCTGGTAAGGTGGGAGATTTGTACAGTGTAAAAGGGATTCTGAATAAGGAAGGCTATCATTCCATTTTGCAACGCCATGCCATACCCAGTGGACAGTGGTTGATTGGAGCCAGTTTTATCCTACAACAGGACAATGACCCTAAACGCACCTCCAAATTGTGGAAGAACTATTTAGAGCAGAAGCAGGCAGCTGGTATTCTATCGGTAATGGAGTGGCCAGCGCAGTCACCAGATCTGAACCCCATTGAGCTGTTGTGGGAGCTCAATGGTCTCCTTATTTTTACGAATGCAAAGGATCCAAAAAGTAATAATAAAATATATATATATATATATATATATATATATATATATATATATATATATATATATATATATATACTGGCCCCTATTGGCCCCATTTTAGAACCGTTCATGTTAGCAGGTTGAACTCATGTTGACTTTATGGCAGTAATTTTAGTTGCTTAGCAACAATAGTTTTAAAGTAACAGCAGGGAAAATGTTAAAAGCTGTAAAAATGTTGCAGAGATGTGGTATCAGTTTACAGGGTTTCAGCACCAACTCAGGAGAGTCAGGAGACACGAGTCAAACAAGTTCTATTTGTTGTGTTTACAAACAGATACAGAAAAGTGTCAGGAAACTGCTAACGTTTACAGTTCCAGACTGCATTTAAAGTGAAACCAGATACAGAAAAGACTGAACCACAATCGTGGAAATAAAGAATAGATCTAAGAAGTAACTATCACAATACATAAAGTGTTATTTATATCCATTTAAATGTCAACTGAACGTTTTACTAATAAAATTAGGTTGAATGTCTATTTAAAAAACCTATCAAATATTCAGTAAATCTCCAAATTTCTACCCACATGTTACTATTTTGTTCCCATCTAAGCATGTTTGTAGACATTTCTAGGAATTATTTGGATAAGAAGTCTGAGAAGGCTCAATCATAACATTTAATTCAATTGCATTTGAATTTGCATTGTTTGTGCTTGTAGATCATGTGGAAATCTGCACCCTTCAGGTGAAACATCATTATAGTGATCAGAAAACTCATTTTCTACACAGCAAACTGAATAACTGGCAGAAGAATCAGCACAATAAATAATAATAAAGTTCTTGGGTATATGTCACAATTTAAGATCTGTTGGCCAGTTTGACTGCATCAGTCCCAATCTCAAATACAGACATTGGTCCCAAATATTTGTTGGGTATATAGCTATTATTTGCAGTAGTCTTACCTTTCGAAATAGCCCTGCTTTCTGTCTCTTTTTTCCATCAGGCCAGGGCTTCAATTCTGCATGTAGTTAGAATAAACACATCCACACATGAAGCTAGATGAGGATCTCACGATGGACTCTCACGTTTCTTTTTCCTGCAATTGAAAGAAGGAAGTAAATCAGAAATCAGAAGCCTTTATCAATCCGCAGCAGCGATCTGTAGGACTGCAAAAAGCCTACAGTCAGCCAGCTTAAGAAGAGTGCGATAAAAGCATCCCATAATGACCATTACCTCAGGTTAGTTTGCTACAGAGGAAAACATGCTCCTTCAGTTAGCACATCTGCTCCAAGTAAACATGTGTTTCATTATGTAATACAGTTTAATTGTGTAGATCTATTATTAGCGCGGACTGGGAATCCAATTAACGTAAACAGACCTACTGAGATTTTAGATCGCGAAGCGAAAATAAAAGACACACCTTAAAAATTGACATAAGTTGATGCGTCTGTGGGGCTTCTAAGTAAATGGTTAACGGAAATTTCAAGCTACATCATTAAATCTGGCCATATTGTCTGCATGGGATAGCTTACGCCTGTTCCATGGCAGCGACAGCAAACGACAAGACGGCCAACAGCAGGTGAGAAACCGTCGGATCAGTTGGGGACGGATTTAAGCTAACAAAGACGCATCGAACAAGGTCCAGCCTTCCTTCCAGCTGACCACACACAGCTGCTGCTGCTAACGCCGCGCGCCGCTACAACGGCTAGCCACTTTGTTTACACATTACAGCAACCTGCTGTTGGCGATAAGAAAAGAAAGAGGTTTAACATAAGGTGCTTACCCTGAGACATCCCTGTTTTTTACAATTTGAGTCAACAGCGGGCTCCAATCTCGTAGTCCAATGACTTCATTAAACGCAAATTTGACTTAAAAAGAAGTACTAGGAGCAAGCATCCTAAGTGCTACATGAAAGCCTAGTAGCCTTCTCCTCTCTTTCCTTGCACTGCCCTCTGGCGTCTCCACCGTAAAAAAGAGGGAGACGCTCGTCCCTGTCGTTTATCATAACTCCATTTTTTATTTTATTTTATCTTTTCATAAAAATTTATCATGGCGCTCCATTGCAGAACGTCTTTTAAATACAAACTATGTAGCCTTAAATGTAGATGGCAGAAAGAAATTTTTGAGATTTTTATATGTGTGGTGGGAGAGAAGGTGTTATGATCCCTGGTGGTCTAGTGGTTAGGATTCGGCGCTCTCACCGCCGCGGCCCGGGTTCGATTCCCGGTCAGGGAACTTCTCCTTTTGTCATTTTGTTTGGAAAAGCGTAAAAAAAAAGAAATGTCGTTTGGAGCAGCTGTCTGAAAAATGTCATCTTTTTTAAGAGTGCTACCTTGAAAAATAGTACAAAATATATATGAGAACAGTAATATAAACACATGACTGTAAATTTACAGTTCTAACATTTTCATTTTATATATATATATATATATATATATATATATATATATATATATATATATATATATATATATATATATATATATATATATATATATATATATATATATATATATATATATATATATATATATATAATAAATAGAATAAAATACAATACCATAACCCATTTTAAAAAACATTCAACAGTCTAATGGCAGTGGGGAAGAAACTGTTGTGGAATCTGCTGGATCTGCATCCAATGCTTCGAAGCCTCTTCCCAAAGGGCAGCAGGGAGAACAGTGGGGATGTGAGGGGTCATTGATGATGTTACGGTCTCGGGACACGCAGCGCTGGGATGAAATGTCTTTTATGGAGGGAAGAAGAGCCCCAATGATCTTCTCTGCTGTTCTCACCACTCTCCTCACTTTCCTCCAGTCTGAGGCTGCATCCTCCACACCACACAGTGAGACAGCTGGTCAGAACGCTCTCTATGGTGCTTCTATACAAGGTGGTTTTCCAGAGTAGTATTACCAGGTAAGATGGTAAACGCATCTGTTTTGCTATATAAATAAAGATCTCGATTCAAGGCTGCAGTCGAAATTATTTTGGAGATATATAATCAACCACATATGAGTAATAAAATTATTTAAGAAAGCATCATGAGCCATAAAAAGTAAAATTTTCCACCTTTGGCACAAAAAAGACTTAGGAGGTCATGTATTTCACGCAAGAAAAAAGTTACTTTAAACAGTTACAAAAATCTTGAAGTGAATTAAAATGAATAATGATACGTTTTTTTCTGTTTTGCAAAATTGTACCACATTTTAGCACATATTAGTTATCTCTAGTTATCTGAAATGGAAAAAAAAGTGTAAGTTAAATATTGCTTATTATACGTTTAAAGGATATATCACTAATTTATTGATAATTGCAAAGACCCATTGCATTTTATTGTAAATTAACAATTTATCTCTATTAATGGATACTTATGTAGGCTTGGTAAAATTTAATTTTAAATATTTTAATCGTATGATATTCATGGTAAAGATTTTTACTTAGTTATTCCTAAAATGTGTGTATTTTAAATTTTAAAACCCCCCATTTAGATTCTTATTGATAACATAGAAATACTTTTGTGTAATATTTAATCTTGTCCATAGCTGTCTGAAACCAGCCCTTGATTGAAACGGCTAACAAAATAATACTCAAAATGTAATATAACAAATATATATATAACCAAAGTTTGAATAAATGTTTTTTTAGCCTAATTAGATTTCTCACATTTAGTTATTTATTCCCTTTCATGTTTTTGTGTTTGTGTCAGCTCGTAATAAATTAGTTTGCTAAATATTTAAGAAATGTTTATACTAAAAAAAATTATTTAAGGTATGTATTTTTTTATTATAATTAATTAATTGCACAAAAACATACTTTCTTGCCTCATTATTGTATTTAAATAGTGGCGGTCCACAATAAGGATATGCATTCTTGAAGACAATATTAAAAACACAACAACCACAAGATGACGCCAAAGGATCTATTGTATCCAAAATCCAGTTAACCTTAACCTAATGCAACTAAATAACAAATATGCACAGTTTTCAGTTGCTTTTTGTGTTTACTGTTTGGCATCTTGCTCCAGTGTCTTACTAGTTAACCTTTAACATATTTTTCTATTATCAACGCTGATTAAACATGTTGCCGCTGACAGAGTCTAGTTTAAATCTTTGAGCTACAACTACATGAGGAAGACTTTACCAGATTACTACCTTTTCAGATAAGTTAGCCCTGGGTATATCATTTCTTTTATGTTATTCCCAACTTTAAAAGACAAAAGGGTAACTTTAAAAATCTCTTTGATTAGAGTACAAAGCAGAGCTGAAGGGTAATCAGTAGCTTCTTAAATTTGCAGACATCTCTTTTTATATTCTATTATCAGCATTATCATTTAATGAAATATAGTTAGATGTATTTCTTTTATCATTTGTACCAGAAAAGGGCAATATAGCAAAGCTTAAGTGATCCACATTGGTTGGGGAAAGACAAAGGCCCTGGCATTCTAGCTGGACGGCCTACAAGTTAACCAGTTCCTCGCTGGCTGTGTATCTTGGCCCTTATTTTGACAGGCGCTATCACTGAGAAAGAGGAGATAAGTTGTCTTAGGGATCGCCATGGCGCCGGTGTGTCGCTCTTTTGGCCTGTTCAGACTTTTGTCGACCTCCCATCTGCCCCCCCACCCCTTCTCCTTGCCCTACTCAGAGCAAAGGATTGTGGGGAGGGAGGTGGCTTTAGAAGCAGGGTTTGTGTTGGCAGGGACCCTGTGGCTCTAGGTATTATTGTCCCATAACAAGAACCACTGTGTGACCTGAACATTTTCCAGCTTAAAAATTAGTTTTCTACCTTATTGCATTTATATAAATCTTTTCCTTGAACTCGGTTTCATTAACTGTACATTTTACCTACGTCTATTCAGAAGGCTGAAATAAAAGAGACACCACGCTGAGGCAGAGATGGACACACTCACATAATTTTAGCCCTTAAAAAGCCTCATGTGAGTCATGTAGTTTAGGATGTGCACATCAAACAGACCTTTGTCATCTGTAAAGTATGTATGTATTTAGTCCACTTGAAATAAAGGGAAAACGCTGATCACCATCAGCTCTACTGGGTCCATGGATGCACAGTAAAGATGCCCAGCACCAAAGTTTGTATGAAGTATGTTTTAGTTAGTATGTTTAGTAGTAGTATGTTTTGGGGTCTTATAGCGTATTTACCTATATTTACCTACTTCCATATATCTTTGGATTCTGACACACTGACTGGTTTCAGATTGTCATATTGAATAACAACATTTTGTGGAAAGCTGGGATTAGTTTACTACCAGACCTGTAGAATAAAGTAGTCAACTGGTGTCAGGATCCGTCTGACATCATGTGGTACACCAGAAAGTTTGACATAAGTTAATACATTAAAAGTTTGAAATAGCTGGATTTTAAAAGTATGCGTTTTGTTAATAGAAATAAAACTGACTTTGAAAAAAATCACACAAAAAAAACCCCCAAACATAGTACCTGGAGTAAAACACTGAGCTAATAGTACTATTTTCCTTACTAGAAAATCCTCATCACTTTGAAACATGCAGCAATTCGGTTGCCTCAAAACCCCCCCCCCACAAGTCGCCATGTCAAATTCTGGACCTAAATCTGATTAAGATACCATGGCAGGACTTGAAGTAGGCTTTCCAAAATCCAAAATAACTAACTATCCAATGTTGCTAAAAAAAAATTACTGTAAATAAAGGTGGGCTAAAACTCATATAAATCGATATAATCTAGGAGAAAGATTCCTGGGAGAATGCTCAATGGAAGTTGTTGCTAAGTGTTGCAGAGTTAATTATTAAATCCAGACAATTATTATTTTCAGTGCTCACTGCTTAGGATTAAGAGCAGGCCCTATTTGAGAAAGTTACTTTTCTAAAGCAATCCATTTTTATCTAACTTCTGCTAGTTTTTCATCAGTGCTAATGCTGGATTCAAACTTGCAGGTAAGTTGACCTGCTCAGAAAGTTCTATTAACACACATCTTAGCTCAGGTTTAAAGGAAAAAGGTTTATATGCCACCCCTTTATAATACAGTTGAATTGTCCATTTGTATGCCTTGATCACAAACCATCTCTAGTATGAGTGGATTTTTTTAATGCTTGGTGAAGATTCAGATTCATGAGATGGTAACTTAAAAAAGTGAAAATTGTTGATCAAAATCTATCCCAAAAAATACATTTTACACTAGTTGTATAGATTCAATTTATTCTAACAGTTTGATTAGTAAAATAATGTAAAAATGTTCAACATTTTGCTTGAGTCTGGATCCATGTTTGGATATTCTCCCAACAACATAGACTAAAGGCTTTGTTTTGCTAACTTGGTGCAACAGAAGATGATATCTTGTCTCTATCTGTTTAAACTGACACAGAGGTCTGACCCAGCTCGGTCCTTGGATTGATCTAAAATCATTTTGCTCAGACGTCAAAAAGCTCCAGCTTAGACTACAAGCACTGATAACTTCAAGTACACAGTGGCAACAAGGAGGAGAGAGACCTAAACACTCAAAAAGGAGATGTCACACAAATGATAATTGATAGAGATTATGGAGTCATAATTCATTTATAATAAGCCTAAACATGCTAGATATGTGCCGCTTTATTATGGGGAGAGTTGTTGTGTTTTGTCAGAACATTTACTGTCAAATGAGTGATGTTGATGTACTATACCAATTAGGGCAAGTAACCATTAAAACAGAGTTAATCATGGAGATAAACAACAGAGTACTGATTATCCCACTTACAACACAGATTTAACACAAATAAACTCTACTGCAGCTGAGATAACAGAAGCTCAAAATGAGCTGTCTGTGTTTGTGTCATGAAGATTTTTTTTTTATGATCCCGATTTTCTCCACGGCAAGTTATTCATGTTTAATTTGGAAATTAAAGCATATTTTATAATAAGTAAATATAAAAGTGAGCTATAGTGAATTGGTTTAGTGGGTAAAAACGGCAGACAT